TGTAAAATTTTCGGCAGATACTTCCCGTATAAGCTAATACATCGGACGATCTCGTCGCCCATGTGTAAAGAGAAGGCAGTGAATTTCTTCCTTTCAATTCCCATGAACGGAAAGTTGATGGCATTTGGTTAGGATTCAAGTATTCTCCATATGTAAACAATAAATACTAAAAGGGTGGCTTAAAGGAAATGGAATTCAAATAAACGACTGACGTGGCGACATGATGGCGATTGAACACTATGTATACGATATGATGGCAGTGCTGCAGCAATGAACAAAACGCCTTGTCACGTTTCACATTAGTAGTTCCCGCTGACGCTTCGGGTGATTTGGTGAAGGTGAACGATCTGACTGACATCCCCACCAAGCTCATAGCTCAGGGAACAGATGCTGCTGATGCTCGTCTTGAACAAGTCATTTTCTCTAACTCCCGCAAGTTTTATTGTCCGATCTCAGAGTCATGTAGGGATGCGGTACTTACTAAGCATCAGCTGGCTCCAGTCGTTCATTGTATAACCCATTGACGCACCCAGGTGCCACTATGACTCTAAATGGAGTTGGAACGCTTGGGGGCATCCCAAAATGAGATGAGTCAACGCTAAAAACTATACTTTCTTAAGTTAGGTTTCTAAACGAATTCGGGCTCCTATGCTTCCGTTGCCGCCATAGGTCAAACATGATTTGGGCGAACGGAAAGCACTACGGCTTGGAATTTTTTCGGTAGTTGCACTTTCTTTTGATCCTTGGAGTTAATGGCATTGATCTCACATAGTCATGGCTATATATTAATCATAGGAGGTACAAGAACGTGTACACTTAAAAACGAGGTTAACACCCTATACACTGTGCCTGACCTGGGAGCCCAGTACTGGGAAATTGGATTACTCTCGTCTTGGTGTGGGATCTTGTACTAGAACGGCCTGTCGGCGGATTGTGGGAATTTCGCGTATGAAGTCTGCTAAAATCCGCCCCTATAATTTGGTTGTTTTCTTGCGCAGAATCAATGGAAGGGGGAGCACACAATGTAGATGTCAGATTGGAATGATTGCGACGTGGTCTCAGTAGATAGCTACGTTCATGGTTTTTAAAGCCGCCGGTCTTCTGTATTTCCCACGCTTATGCACGGGATCGGGAGACGTTCCACCAAACCTCCTATGCCAGATTTGTCAGAGGATAAGCGTATTAACCTGTTCACTTGTTACGGCTATAAATCACTGGACAAACGAAATTCATGTTGAGCACTCGGATGTTTTCACGAGTGCATTGTGATGTGCATGACACACAGCAATCCTTCTAAATCTGTTCTGTAGGGCTATGATAACAGTAGTATAAATATTTATTTGTATAAACTGGTTCTGTTCATACTTTTGGGGGTGCCGCATCCTCCAAGAGTATAAACATGATATCTTTCATCTTCTTTCTGGATTCCTTTTCTGGCATTTCGCGTAACGCTGAGGCGAGGAATGCAGCTAAATAAGAAACTGTTGAACGTCTTGGAGCCACTATTTCATGACAGTATAATGCTGTTGAGAAAGTTTAGAAAAAGCATCACAAGGACAGCATAGAATACCATAAGATGGAAACTTTTAGAATCACTAAGCTTTGATGTCATTTTTAGGCATTAGGTAATGATCAGAAAGGTGTGAAACCAATATAAATAACTCAGAACCCTATTTTGCGAGTAGTCATAGAGCACTCGTTAGGCGCATGCAGATCGGATATTATCAAGGTAGGGCGTAATTTCTTCCAAGATGATTAGTGCCCGAGATGTGGGAGCATGAATCTTTCGAATAAGAATTGAAAAGTTCTCCTATAGCGAGTATGAACACCTATCTGCCGTTTTCCTTCCTACATCAAATTTCGAGCCTATACCTTGATGGCTTATGACTACCATCATTGACTT